TTGCCTTTAAGTGGATCATTTGCCCATTGTCAACTCTTAGCCCCCTCCCAAAAAAAAAGTCACCTGGGAACGGTGGTGCGAGCCTACGACCTTAGCACTCAGGGTCCCACTCAAAATGAATAGGAGGGGAGGGGCTCAGCAGTTGTGAGCAGAGGACCCCGGTTCAGTTCCAAGCTCACTCCTGTTCTGGAGGATCTGATGCCTTTTTCTAGCTTCCAAAGGCACTAGGAATACATATGGTATACATCCATAAAGGCAAAACACTAAGACACGAAATAAAATCTTAAAAGGCCGGGTGTGCTGGTACACACCTTTAATTCCTGCACTGGACTGGACTTTGGGACACAGGCACACACAAAGATACTGGGATCTCTGAGTTTGAGGCTAGCCTGGTCTACAAAGTAAGTTTCAGGCCATCTGAGGCTACATAATGAGACCTTGTTAAAACAAAAACAAAAAATTCCCCAATAAGGAATCGATTGAATTAATGGCGGGGCCTGATGGTACACACCTTTCACTTGGAAAAGAAGACAGGATTATGAGTTCAAATCCATCCTGGGCTGTTTCAGGGCCTTACTTTAAAAAAACAAGAAACAAACAAACTAAAGAAAAAAGGAAACCAATTGAATTTTTAAAAAGTATTTTTTATTGTTTCTTACATTTTGTATGTGTGTTATGAGCATGCAGTTGAATACAGATGCCAGTGGAGGCTGTGGCATTAGAGTTACAGGTAGTTGTGTGGCACCCAGTATGGATGCTAAGAACTGAACTTGGATCTGATTGGATATCAGTAAATGCTCTTAACTGTTGAGCCATTACCACAGCCCCAAATGTTGTTTTTGTTTTTGAATTTAAAAAATCTTAACCTAGCTGGGTATTGGTTGTGAATGCCTTTAGTCCCACCCAGCCCTTTGGGAAGCAGAGGCAGGCAGATCTCTGTGAGTTAGAGGCAAGCCTGGTCTACAAGAGCTAGTTCCAAGACAGGCTCCAAAGCCACAGAGAAACCCTGTCTGGAAAAACAAAAAAAGTCTTAACCTTTATTTTTATTTTGTGTGCATGGGTATTCTTTTTGCATTGTGTCTTTGTACCCCATGTGTACAGTTCCCTCAGAGGCCAGAGGAGGGTGTTGGATCCCTAAGACTGGAGTTACAGGGCCAGTATAGGTGCTGGGAATCGAACCTGGGTCCTCTAGAAGAGAACCAGTTTTACTTCTAAGCCGTCTCTCCATCACACAGGGTCTCACTATGTGGTTCAGTTTCATCCTCTTGCCTCAGACTCCCATATCCTAGGGTTACAGGCATGTGTGACCATGCTGACCTTGAATCTTACATGACTTATTTCAGTTCTACACCTCTGATCTTTGAGTCTAGTTGTTGCATTTAAAAATGATGTTTAGAAGGCTGGACCTTGGTGGGGCACACCTTTAATCCCATCATTTGGGAGGCAGAGGCAGGAGGATCTCTGTGAGTTTGACGCCAGCCTGGTCTACAGAGTGAGATCCAGCACAACTTCGAATGCACTGTATTGAGGAGGGAAAAAAGATGTTTATAGATTGGGTTGCCCATCAGTTACAGTGAACAGCAAAGCAGAATAGATTGTGAAGGTCACATATTGAAACGAGAGGTAGTCCTTTCTAACCCAGTAGTTCCTAATCTCCAACAGCGCAAGCCTGCTTAGAAGCAAGAGAGCTTGCTGGCCTGTGAGCTATTGCTAGACTCCAGTCCCTGGGATAACAAGGACTCTGCAACCCAAGTGTTGTTACAACTCTTCTCCTCACTCTACGCTGTGCCCCTGCCATTCCCCAGGCTAGGGTAATGGATCTGTCTGTGGCTATGAGATTCACTTTATCTTAGTGCCCGTGTTTTCATATTTTACAAAAGTAACATTGAGGCTTAATGCTTTTTCCCCTTGGATCATATACTTGGAAATAAAGTCTAGGAGAATGAATGACTGGGAACTTTTCCTGGTGTGTATGTGTGTGTATGCGGGGGGATATATATCACCTGCCCATATTGCTCTTGGAATATGTGTCATTGTTTTATGTCTTTTTAATAGATGGTATGTGTGTGTGTACAGGTGCATGTAGGTCAGAGGGCAACTTGTGGAAGTTAGTTCTCTGCTACCACATGGATCACATGGGCAATTTAGTTTTTATTTTATTTATTGCTCTGTGGGGGTGTGCATATGTATGGTGTGTTATGAGAGAATGCCATGGCCCTAAATAGGGATCAGACACAACTTTTAAGAGTCCATTCTCTCCTTCCATCATGGGTTCCAAGAACTGTACGTACACCAAGGCTTGTATGGCAAACACTTTTACCACTGCGCCATGTCTGGCTCTTGCCATCTGTTTTGAAATTTAGACTTGCGGTTCCTTCTCTTTTCCTGTAAGGCAGTGTATGTCCCACAGAAACATGTTTTTAAAAATACTTCATTCTCAGATACCTTTTTTAAGAAATATTTTAATTTTATCTTTTTTGAGGCAGGGTCACTTGTTGCCAAAGCTGGCCTCAAACTCACATCCCTTATGTGACAATGATCTTGATGACCTTTGCCTCCCAAGTTGTGGGATTACAGCCATGTGCTAAAGACAAGTTTCTTAAATGCATATAGAACTCCCAGAGTTAATACATATTTCATTCTTTGTTACCTTGACTAATCTTCACCTCCCCCAAGCACGCTTATTAGGTAAACTGAGGTTCAGAAGGCTTACTGAGAGCCGAACCTAAAGTCACAGTGGCTTAAGGAATAGCGCAGGCTCACCTGATTACAGAGGCCTGGCCATTACATGGTGTGTTGTGCTATTGGTGTTTTACTTTAATTTTTTTTTTTTTTCTTTAGACCTTTTTGAGGGGCCCGCCACCCAGCTCCCACGTAAATCACACTGACAGAGTCTTACTCTTACTTATGAATGTCATCTTAGCTTGGCTTGTTTCTTGCCAGTTTTCCTTATCTTAAATTGTTTCATCTACCCTTTGCCCCTGGGCTTCTTCTGTAAACCTTGCTTTTACTCCATGGGTGGCCGGGTGGCCTATTTATATTCTGCCTGCCCGCCCTGTCTATCCTTGCTCCAACACCTCTATTGGCCGCTCAGCTCTTTATTAGACCATCAGGTGTTTCAAACAGGCAAAGAATCACAGCTTCACCAAGTTAAACAAATGCAGCGTAAACAAAAGTCACACACCTTAAAATAATATTCTACCACACTGTGCTGGGTTGGATTTTTTCCACCTTAATAATTACTCTATTATAGCAGCAAAGTTGAGGGATCTTCTGACCCTAGGGAAGTTCTATATTCAGTTTTCATCCAAATGGCATCTAAAAATGATAGCTATACACTGGCCAGAGACAACTTCATTCCATCCCTCAGATTTCAAGATCACTGTTGGTGTACAGCCCACAGTTTGAGAAAGGCTGCACAGCTGGTTGAGAAGCAAATTAATTCTGATTTGCAGTAATAGTTTTTTGTTTGTTTTTTTGAGACAGGGTTTCTTTGTAGCTTTGGAGCCTGCCCTGGGACTCTGTAGACTAGGCTGGCCTCGAACGCATAGAGAACCTCCTGCCTTCCCCTCTCAGGTGCTGGGACTAAAGGTGTGTGCCACCACACCTGTCAATTAAAAATTTTTTTAATGATAGTGTGTGTCAGGGTTATTAGGATTGCTGGTGTAGAGTAGTCGATACAGGGTCACAGTAATTTGTCATTCTTGTAGATTACTCTCTCAGTCCTCTGTTAACTTCCTTTTTACCCTCTCCCCTTTATTTCTATGTATCTGTTTCATTTCTAGAGTACTTTGCAGGAATATATTCGTAATTAGTACATGTGTAAATATCAAAGTTATGGTTGTCCACACCTGACATCCCATCGATGGAGACCAGCCCAGGCTACACGATAAGCACCACACTGACTATATAGTGAGACCCTATCTAAGATAACTAAAGTGGGGAATGGCTCAGTAGTAAAATACTTGTGTAGCTTGTGAAAATTCCCAGAACCAACAAAAAAAAAGAGGAAAAGAAAGACACCCATGGCATGCTGGATGTCTAGTGTACCTGTGGTTGGATGGGCCAACTACAGTTTGATGAATTTGTTGTGGCTCAGAAAAAAATCTGGAAACATGGTGGGGAATTCGAAACTCTTTTTCAGTTACCATTTCAACTCCCTGGCCAGCCACACTCTGGTAGAGCAGTCTGTTCCAGATGTAGCTCTCGATGTGGGTTGGGGCTGGGCTGGCCTCAAGTAAAGCATGGTCTCCTGCCTCAGCGCCCTGAATGGGTCACAGATAGGCATCACCACACTTGCCCAGAAGCAGTTGTGAGTTTCCTGTCTGCCACCCTCACCCCTGGATGTCAGCTGCAGAGGACCTTATCAGACGAGGGAATGGCCTTTCAGTATTGGATGGCTACCACAGCTAAGCTTCAGGAGAAACCTGTGAGGCAGAGGCAGGGAGCTCACAATCATGTCAAGGCCAGACTGGTCTACATAGTGAGTTCAAGGCCAGCCTGTATCAGAAAATCAAAACCAGCTGGGCATAGGGTGCACGTGGCCTGCAATTCTAGCAGAGAAGAAGGCAGAAGAGTCAGAAGTGCATGTCACCTGAGCTTAGATGCTGTCCAAGAAACACTGTTGAGTATGGAGTTCCTGCCTCTCTATTCCCAGCACTTGGGAGGCTAAAGCTGGAAAATTGTCATGAGTTCAAAGCCAACCTAGGCTATAGACCAAAGTTTTTAAACCATTTCATAAAACAAAACAAAAAAGCTAGGCTGAGGTAGTGCACACCTTTAATCCCAACACTTGGGAGGCAGAGGCAGGTGGAGCTCTGAGTTCAAGGCCAGCCTGGTTCACAGAGTGAATTCCAGGACAGCCAGGATTACACAGAGAAACCTTGAATTGAAAAGAAACAAAAACAAACAAACAAAATTAGCTAAAGGGGGGAAAAGTGGCTGCCATTTCAGTGGTCCTGGGTCTAACTTTAACCTTTTTCCCTACAGGACTGTTGAAGCCTGGAAGTCCCTCCCCTTCCCCTCCCCCCTTTGCCGCTCTGTGGCATCCCCCCTCCCTCTACCCTTTCCTACTTTGATAACCTGGCTATGACTAGCAGAAGTACAGCCAGGCCCAATGGGCAGCCCCAGGCCAGCAAAATATGCCAGTTCAAACTGGTCCTGCTGGGAGAATCTGCAGTGGGGAAATCCAGCCTGGTGCTGCGTTTCGTCAAAGGGCAGTTCCATGAGTACCAGGAGAGCACCATTGGAGGTGAGTGTTACCCCAGGAATGGGAAACATGCAGGAAGATCAAGACAGTCCTTAATGATACAGAGTTTGAGGCCAGCCCTGGCTTTCATGAGGCCCTGTTACAATTTTAAAAAAAAAAAAAAGGAAAAGGAAAATCAGGTGAGCATGGTAGCAAATGGATGCTCTTATGCTCTTATACCAGAGCTGGGGAGGCAGAGGCAGGTGGATCTCTGTGAGTTCAAGGCCAACCTGGTCTACAGAGTTACACAGAGAAACTCTGTCTCAAAAAAAAAAAAAAACAAACAAAAAAAAAAAAAAAAAAAAAAAAAAAAAAAAAAAAAAAACCCACAACACTCGGGGACTTGAGATGACACATACAGTGGGGGTCAGATTAGGTTCTGAGCAAGCCTCCTCAGGCAACTCCAGCTCCCAAGGGTCTCACATCTCTAGCCCCATCAGGCACTAGTACTACCCGTGCAGTACGTGTAATTTATAAAAATAGGTTCTAGAAATACTTATGTATAATTTGGAATAAACCCTTTAAAAACAAGACTCGTAGGCCTATTGACACAGGCCTATAATGTTAGCTCCTTGGTAGGCTAAGGCAGGGGGATCCAAGTTCAAAGCTTGAATCTGCTACAGAGTGAGCTCCAGTCATTACAAACAAGACCCTGACTGAAAAGAAAAAGGACTAGGAATATAGCGTGCACAGTTCCATCCATATTCAGTTCCCAGTACCATCACACCAAAATTGGTGTTTTGTTTGTTTGTTTTGTTTTGGAACAGTAATTCATAATCAAATATGTGATGGGATGAGTCTCTTGATAAGCCCACACCCATCTGTAGTGTGCAATTGCACTTAAGTACCGCTCTTCTTAGTCTTGCTAAGTCTTCCTTAAAAAAAAAAAAAATAGCCCTGGGAATGCTAGAGAGATGGCTCCGTGGGTAGGTGAGCTTGCTGTTCTTTCAGAGGACCTGAATTTCCAGTGTCCACACCAGGTGGGCAGCTCACAATCACCTGTAATCTCAGCTCCAGGGCATCCCACGCCTCTTCTGTACCCATCATAGACACACAAAAGTGGCAGATTTAAAAAAAGAAAGGAAGAAAGGAGGGAAGGAAGGGAGGGGGAGGAAAGGAGGGAAGCAAGGAAGGGAAGAAGGAGGGAGGGAAGATTGCAGCAAGGTGACTTAGGCTGTAGAGGTACCTGCTGTGCTAACCTGGGGACACAGTTGAGTCCCTAGAACTCAGGTGGAGGAAAAAATTGACTCCACGGGGCTGCTCTTTGACCACCATGTGCACCTTAGCAGGACTGTCCTAGCACCTGCCATCAAACTTTAAAGTCTTGTAGGTTTGTTTGTTTGTTTGAGACAGGGACTCATGTAGTCCAGACGGTGTAGCAGGAATGACCTTGCTTTCCTGATTTTCCTCCCTCTACCTCCCAAGTGCTAGAATAACAGATGTGTCCCGCCCTGAAAATATTCTCATTCTTTTTTATTTACAGGATTTCTTTATGTAGCCTGGCTATCCTGGAATTTGCTCTGTAAACCAGGCTGTCCTTGAACTCAGAGACTGTCTCTGCCTCTGCCTCCCCAAGTGCTGACCCACCACCTAGCACTTTATTATTTCTTACCCACTTAAGAAGGTTAGAACTGGACAGGTGGTGGTGATACACACCTTTAATCCCAGCACTAGGGAGACAGAGGCAGGCAGATCTCTGAGCTTGAGACCTGGGTGGTCTACAAAGTGAGTTCTAGGACAGCCAGAGCTATAGAAAAACCCTGTCTTAAAAAGAAGCGAGGTTAGAGCATGGATGAGTATTGTAAGTGCCTGGTGTACTCTTTCCCTCACAGCCTATAATGCTCTCCATACCGTAGCTAGAAAGATTTGTTTTTAGTAGTATATGAGTGTTTCACCCGTGTGTATGCGAGCGCATGCATACATGCACATGTGTATTCATGTGTGTGCATGCATGCAGTGCCTGTTGAGGACAGAAGAGAGAACCAGTCAGACAGCTGTGAGCCCTGGGGTTGCTGGGATTGAATCTCAGGTCCTCTAGAAAAGCAACAGTATTCTTAACTGCTGAGCCTGTTTTGTTTTGTATTTAATCCCAGCACTCAGAAGGCAGGGGCAGGCAGATCTCTTGACTTTGAGGCCAGCCTTAATGAGTTCCAAGAACAGCACTACATAGTGAGACCTTTTCATAAATGAATAAACTAATGCAAGGTCTCACTTGGCCCAGACTGGCCTCGAACTTGCTAAATAGCCACATATGATCTTGAACTCCTGACCTTCCTGCCTTCGCCCACAAATGATCAGAGGCCATCTTAATCCTGTCCCAGTAGTTACACACGAGAACACTAAGCCTGTAATTGACAGGCCTGGGTGGCAAGTAGTCTTAAAATGAGAAGAGATCATTTGAAGGGGAGTACGATCTTCCCATCCATCCTCCACTTACAGCTCTTCATTCTCTTCTTCATAGCGGCCTTCCTGACCCAATCTGTGTGTCTAGATGACACAACAGTCAAGTTTGAAATCTGGGACACCGCTGGGCAGGAGCGATACCACAGCCTAGCCCCCATGTACTACAGGGGTGCCCAGGCTGCAATTGTGGTTTATGATATTACTAATCAGGTAAGTGGGCTGAGAAGATTGTCTGTTGAGAAGATTTACTTATAGAAATTAGGTGCGGGTGAGGAAGCAGGTTCTCGAAGTAACCAAATAAAAGTGCCAAGAGTGCTTGTAAGCAGTAAGCCAGGCTAAGTGGACTGTGGGGGGGGGGGACCCCTGGGGCGGAGACCGTGAGACTGGGTTTTGAAGGCAATGACCGTGGATTAACGCTCACTGCAGCCCATTCTCTTTCATGTTTTGCTAGGAGACATTTGCCCGGGCAAAGACATGGGTAAAGGAACTACAGCGGCAAGCCAGCCCCAGCATTGTCATCGCTCTGGCAGGGAACAAAGCTGACCTTGCCAACAAGCGGATGGTGGAGTATGAAGTAAGATGGTCCCAGAGTCCCTCCCTAACACTCACTCTGTATGTGGGACCTCTCTTTTCCAAACCAGTCTCTTGAAAACCTCATGTGAGGCATTTACTAACTCACTTCCTATTTGTACACGAAACTAAATACAGCAACACTCTGAACATAATGGCAGCCAGGAAATTTTAAAGGAATTAGATGAAAATTGCAGATCAGAGGTGTGAGGAAATAGTGCTTGTAGGGTACCAGGGTAAAAACAGGAAGGAGGGAGTAGTTAAATTTGAGGTAAGGAGCTATTGATATGCCAAAACCCAAAGATTCCTATCAGTTCACCCTTCTCCATAATTAAGATTGCTTACACTGGGGAGGCATTTCCAGTTGTACACTACTTGTATGGCCAGGCCGAGGGAGGACTTGGAATGCCTAGGACCCACATGAAAAGGGCACGGGAAGGTAGAGCAGAGCACCCAGGAGCTTGCTGGCCAGCTGCTGCAGTTAAACAGTAAGTTTAAAAAGTAATGAGATGCCAGGTGGTGGTGGCGGCGGCGTTACACCTTTCTTCCCAGCCCACGGGAGGCAGAGGCAGGAGGTTCTCTGAGTCTGAGGCCAGCCAGGGCTGTTACACAAAAAACCCTGTATCAAAAACAAAACAAAAAAATGTGTTGGCTTGGGGACTAGTAAGAGGTCTAGCAGGTAAAGTGGCAAGCCTGGAGACCTGAATTCAGTCCCTGGAATCCACAGAAAGGTGGAAGGAGAAAACCTACTCCATCATTGACTCTGACTTCCACCCGCACGTGTTCATACATACAAACATTGAAAACCAAAAAAAACAAGATGAAAAGAAATTGAGGAAGATATCCAAAGCATACATGTGTGCACATCTGAACATACATGCACGCATAGATTCCCGATACCTCTTTGTTGAACTTAGTAGACATGGGTTTCTCTTGAGGGAAATCATTACCATATTATGGGTCTGGGACCAACTGGTACAAAGGACATTGAGGAGATCATAAATATTCCCTCTCTCTAGAGTGCTGATTGCCATTGAAAAGCAATACTACTTTCTTCCCTTTTAGGAAGCGCAGGCATACGCAGACGACAACAGCTTGCTATTTATGGAGACTTCAGCCAAGACTGCTATGAACGTGAATGACCTCTTCCTGGCAATAGGTAAGGGCAGGACGAGTGGTGAGCTCTACCTGTCTTCTTGTCCGTATGTAAAGCTGTCATTAACCCAAAGCAAGGACAGATGGTCGTAGAAATTACTGCAGCTATGCAGCTGGAGGTGAGGCCCAAGGTGTGATAACCAGCTCTGCAAAGAAGCCAAACAAGAAAGGCTTAGACCTGAGGTTGAGCATGGCAGTACATGGTTGTAGCCCAGCACTGGGGGACCAAAACAGGAGGGTTACCACAAAGTATGAAAGCAACTGGGCTACATAGTAAGTACTAGGCCGGCTGGTGGCTCCCAACCTTCCTAATGCTACTGCCATGACCCTTTAACACAGATCCCCATGGTATGGCGACTCCCGACCACAAAATTACTTTGTTCTGTAATTTTGCTAGTGTTGTGCATGGTGATGTAAATATCTGCTATTCTACCTACAGATTGAGAACCACTGTACTAGGCCATAGCTGAGTGTGGTGCATACCTTTAATCCCTGCATTCAGGAGGCAGAGGCTAATCTCTATAAATTCCAGGCCAGCCTTGTCTATGTAACTAATTCCAGGACAGCCAGAGAGAGAGGACCCTATCTCAGGAAGGAAGGGAGGGAGGGAGGAAGGGAGGGGTGGGAGAGGAAGGAATACTAAGCAAGCCAGGGCTAGCTATGGTAGAGACTTGTCTCAAAAGAAAATATAAAAGCCTGCAGTGGTGGCGCACATGTTTCATCCCAGCACTTAGGAGGCAGAGGCAGGTGGATCTCTCTGAGTTCAAAGCCAGCCTGGTCTACAGAGCAAGTTCCAGGACAGCCAGAACTACACAGTGTCTTGAAAATACCAAAGGAAAGGAGGAAAGGGGGGTGGCAAATCAAAGCAAACCCTTCAACCTGGCATGGTGATCGTGCATAAAATCCCATTTGGGGCAGTAAGCTGAAGCAAAGAGATTGCAGTCTAAGTGGGCAAAGCACATCTGTAATCGCAGAGGGCCGAGGCCATCCTTGGATGTTAGCAAGTTTGAGGACAACCTAGGCTACATGAGACCTTACTTAAAACAAAGACAGTAGGCTAGAGTGGTTCCATGATTAAGACTACACGGTGCTCTTGCAGAGGACCCACAGTTGTTCCCAAGCACCCACATCAGATGGCTCAAAACCACCTGTAACTCCAGTTCCAGGAGGTGCGGTGCTCTGAGCTCTGAGCGCACCTGCACTGATGTGCACATACCCACTCATGCACGCGCACGCACACACACCCTTTAAAACAGATTTTAAAAGGAACCAAGAAATAAAAGTGTGGTGCTGTACACCTGTAATCCTACCATATGGGAGGCTGAGACCAGAGAATCAAGAGTTTGAAGCTCTGGAGTTTGACTCCAGAGTAAGAGAAATCAAGGTCAGAGCCATAGCAGTGGGTGGGTTCAATCCTCAGCACTATCAAAGGAGAAAATCTCCAGTTATAGAAACAACTTCCCTTCCTTTTGTAACGTCCACCCTTTGGTGGCAGCTTTAGCTCCCTGTGTTTGTGAGGTATGCCCTTACACCCTGCCCTCTTCAGATCATAATGTTAATCTTACTTTACCCCCCACTCAGTAGCCTTTTTGTTTGGGGTGGAAAGTAAGTGTGTGTGTGTGTGTGTGTGTGTGTGTGTGTGTGTGTGTGTGTGTGTATGTATATGTATGTATACACACACACACACACACATATTATGTAAAATCTACCATGCTTTGTTCTGTTCTCTTATTTTTTAGCAAAGAAGTTGCCAAAGAGTGAACCCCAGAATCTGGGGGGTGCAGCCGGCCGGAGTCGGGGTGTGGATCTCCATGAGCAGTCTCAGCAGAACAAGAGCCAGTGCTGTAGCAACTGAGGGTGGCTGGCAGCAAACATGTGGAGTTAGCACGAGAGCTAAGACATAACCTCCATCCCCACCCTCAGCACACAGCCCCTACGGTAACAGCACACTGAGCCCTGGCTCCCAAGGGCTGCCTCCTGACAGCTCCGTCATGGCACTTTTTAACGCTTCAGCAACCAACACCAGGCAGCTGTTGCCACTACTACACCCTACTCTGGGGTTTGGGGTCAAATCTCCCAGGACCTTCCTTCCAAAACAAACTTTCTTCACTTCGTATTCTAGGTGCAAGACAGTGACCTCCTCATTGTTACCCCCACCGTATCCCTTCCCAGGGTTTAAGGGAAGACTTGTCTCCTGCCTCTTCCCTCTTCCACCTCTCATCACTCCCTGTTCTTGATCCTGCTTCCTCCTCTTCCCAAGATGATGAAAGGTATATCCAGGGACGGAAAAAGGAGACAATGTAATTTTAGTTACATTGAGGACCCTGCAGGGGCAGTAAGGCTCAGAGCAGGAGGGAGTAAGGAAACATTTCTTTTTGTTTTATTTATCTGGTAGGAGTTTCTTGTCTATGAAACACTGCAGCACCCATGAGTTGGACTTGTGGAGGGTGTTCCTAGGTAGGAGTGAGAATAGGGAGGCAAGCTCAAAGGCACCGTATATGGGAGGGAGTTGTGTTAGCTAACTGGATAAAGGTTGAGGTGCAGTGTCATCTGTGGCTCTGGAACTCATCCCAAGGCTTTTTCCCTCACCGGCCTCTTAGGTAGTTCTCCCCACCCACCCACCCCCACTCCAGTGTGGGGATTGGACCTCAGAGTGCTCCAAAGAATCTTCACTGGTTGCCTGCACCTTTAGCTCTGCTGTTATCTAATTGGAGGAGGTACCAGTTTCTGATACCCATCCTCTTGTTTATACATAGGCATTTCCTGTACCCTGGCCTTGAGATGGCCTTAGCCCCGGACGCCATGCCCCTGCCGTTTGCACTTTAATTGATGGTAGTTCAGTCAGGATACATGTTTATTAGGGTTTTGATTGATTTACCTACCCTTCAACCTTCTTAGTTAAATGGAATTTACAATATGTGAGGTTTGGGAGGCACTATAGAAAACAGTAAGAGTAGCAGCTACTCCAGCCCAGTGTCCACTGCTAGCCTCCTGACTGATTCGTGCCTCTATTCCTGGGTATAGGTTTGTCTGAGCAGCTGGGGAGTGGCCTGGAATAGCATGGGCCATGGCAGTAGAGTGAAGAGGGATCAGGCCAAGGGAGTGTTCCGTCTTCCCAGGGCTCACGTTCAGCTTGCTGTATTTTACCATGTCTTTTCTACTTCCCTGTAAATACTTAGTCTTTATTCTCACTGTACAGTCTCTTCTGTCTCCTGTCGCCCCTTTCTTTCCTCTTTTGTTGCTACTTTGAGTTTAGTTCCTCCCTCCCTCCCCTCCCCTTTACTCTTTCTTAATCCATGTACCACTAGGGGCTCCTGCCACAGAGGCCGCTTGTCCTAGGACAGGCGGGCACAGCTAGAACTGAAGGTGTCTCACAACAGCTGCCTTGTGTCATCAGAGGGCTTTGGTCCTTCCCGAGCCTACACCCCTCAGTAGGTATTTTAGGGTGACTGTGGGAAGCCATTGATGCAAGAGGGAACTCAGTTCTTTTGGGTGTTAGCCAGAATTTTGGGGAAATTTGCAGAAGAAAGGAAAGCCCACAGTAACCTAGAGTTAGAACCTTTCTGTCCCTTTGGCTTACAGGCCGCCTTTTGTTCCAGAGCAGCTGAGGAATCCATGCCGCCAAGACTCTCAAGGCCCTAGCTTAGGTTCTTCCACTTAGGCCTCAATTCTCGTCCTTTTCCAGGGGCAGCCTTAGCTCTCATGGCCCTGAAACACACATTTGTTTCCAACTATGCTTCCCTAGAACCCGTTAGTCCTCCAAAGCATCCAGGTGCATCCTTTTTATAAGTTGAAAACCTAGGGAGACTTAATTCCTTCTCTGCAGTTTCCAAGGGACAAAAATGAAGATGTTTTATTGCCTAGGGGCTGGGAAACCATTTCCCTAGGGTTTTTCCCTCCCCCCTCCCCCTCCCCCTCTCCCCCTCTCCCCTCCCCCCTATACCCCTCTTTCCCTCTCTTAGGAACAGTATTGGCCTTAGCTCCTGGGCCCAGCTGCTGCCGACCTTCTCCTACCAGCTCTTCTGCCTTCACCTGAGCTCTGTTGGGCTTGAGGGTTCTTGTCTCCCCGCCCTCCCATTATCTTTTTTCTTTTAATCAAATTTTAGGGCGAGGGCTCATCCTTTTTGGGTTTTTTATTGTTTTTTGTTTTTGTTTTTATTTTTTTTTTTCCTAAGAAAGTGTCTGCCTTTCTTTCCCTCTCCTTCTAACATAACAATCGTGGTAACAGAATGCAACTGCTGATTTATCGATGTATTTAATGTAAGTAAAAAAGGAAAAGAAAAAAAAAAGAAAGTGCACTGGACTGTTGCTTTGTTTTTACCATTTTTTCTGCCTGAAGCTAAAAGTGGGAAAGGAAATCAGGTGGTGGTGGTGGCACATCTCTTTAATCCCAGCACTCTGGAGACAGAGGCAGGGGATCTCTGTGAGTCTGAGGTCAGCCTGGTCTACAGAGTGAGTTCCAGGACAGCCAGGGCTATGCAGTGACACTCTCAAAAACAAACCGACAAAAAGTTGGAAGAAAGGGCCCGTTGAAGTCTTACAGAACCTCTGACGCTGGAAGAAAGGGCCGGTGAAGTCTTACAGAACCTCTGACGCTGGAAGAAAGGGCCCGTGAAGTCTTACAGAACCTCTGACGCACTGCCCTTGCTGTCTTGGCGCTCTATCACTTTCTTAAACTTTTGTTGGACGCTTGGAAGAACCAGTCTGGAAAATAACCTTGTTTTGTGTTGTGACCTGTTCCTGCTCAAAGGCATAGATAACATAAAAAACATGCGACTTTTATCTTTTTGTATGCAGTAGTGTGGTCATGGATCTCCTGGGATTTCTTGAGGCTTGAAAGAGGAATGGCATATCTAAAGTATTGGAAACACTACACAATACTATATGCATTTTCCTAAGACTCATTTCTATTTTAGTTTCTGAATTGGACCCATAACCTAAAAATTAAAAAGAGGGCTGGAGACAGGATGGCTCAGTGCTCGGTGGTTAAGAGTACTGGGTCCTCTTTCAGAGGACCTAAGTTCAATTCCCAGCACCCACATGGCAGCTCATAACTGCCTGTAGCTCCAGTTCCAGGGGATCTGACAACCTCTCATATATACATCCATGCAAAACACAATGTTCATGAAATAATTTTTTTTTAAAGAAAAAATATGCTGGGGAGAAGGCTCAGCAGTTTAAAGCACTTGTTGCTCTTGTACAGAACCTGGGTCATCCATAACTCCTGTTCCAGGGGATCTGATGCCTCCTGGCCTCCACAGGCACCAGGTACACACATGGTGCACATACATATTGCAGGAGAAACATACATACAAAACCTTAAGAAAAAAAAAGCTAGATATGGTGACAAGTGCCTGTTGTTAGAGTGAGTTTGAAGGGATCCTAAATACCAGTTTAACAAGACCATTATCTCCAAAAAGGAAGAAAAAAAAAAAAAACTGAATTAACTTCTACCCCAACCTCCACACAGTTTTTTTTTTTCTTATCTCTTCTTAAAGTCCTTCCGTTTGTCATAGTATAGTTGGAACTGAAACTCAAAACAAGTTACAAGACTTTTAAGTAGATATGTTCAGGGGGACAAGGGTCAGGTAGCCCTTACTTTCCAGGCCATTTTTCCTACTTCACTAGCTATGGGTCAAGTTATCCCTCTTGCTTCTTTCCCTCTACCTGTGAAATGAAGAGAACGTGAAGTCTGAGCAGCTGTGTGGTACACACCTGTCATCCCAGACTAGAGGGCCCTGAAGCACATACCGAATCTGAGGTCCGTCTGAGCTCCATAAATAAAACTGGGTGGCATGGGGGGGGGGGAAGCATACCAAGGAGTAATTTGCCTGCTTGACAGGGTCTTTGAATATGTTAGGCCTCCCTCAGCTTTCCTAGTGCTGGGAACAACACCAGCTGAAACTTCACCAACTGTTAGGACGATCTACACAAAGGCTGGGATCCTTTCCTTGCCCAGAACTAACAATATCACCTTTTCACTCTCACTCCCCGTCTCCGGGTCCTTGATTTTCCTCGCAAAGACTCTGGTTGGACTAAAAGGGGGAAAAAACGATCTTCGAAATGTTTTGCTTTAAATTGATAACGACTGGTCGGACATTGGTGACGCACGCCGTTAATCCCAGCGCTCAGGAGGCAGAGGCAGCCGGATCTCTGAGAGTTCAAGGCCAGCCTGTGCTACAAGAGTGAGGACAGCCAGCGGCCAAAGGCACAGAAAAACCCTCTCTCAAAAAACAAAATTGATAACGACTGTAGCTCAACTCTCTGACCTCTAGGGGGCAGTCTAAGAATGTTTGTTCCTGGGGCGTGCGGGCTAAGTGTCAAATTAGCTGTTAAGAGTAGTAATGAATGTATTCGATTGGTGTCCTTACTTTGACTCACATGACTATAATGTTCGTACTTTTGTTAAACTGCCATTTTTCTTTATTAAAGTGGATGTTCGTTTTCTGTTTGTTTTTTCAAGACAGGGTTTCCCTATATAACAGCCCTAGCTGTTGTAGAACTCGCTCTGTAGACCAGGCTGGCCTCCAACTCAGAGATCCAATGCCGGGATTAAAGGCGACTGCCACCACGCCCAGCCCCACCCACCACCACCACACTATGCAAAATTCAAAAAGATGGGTTTAAGGACTGGGCGTGGTGGCGCACGCCTTTAAGGCTGGCACTCAAGAGGCAGAGCTATGAATTCTGGGCCAGCCTGGTCTACAAAACCAGTTCCATGCCAGCCAGAACTACGTAGTGAGACCTTGTCTGAAAATACATAAAAGACGGTTTTTCAGTGTTGAGAAATTCACTCTGGGCGTTTTTGAGCCACTATTTTAAGGAGTCATTTATTTCTTCTGTTATTCTTGGCCTTGTGACACAAGCTTAACAGTTGAAACACTAAACAACGCCTGAGTCGCGGGGCATACTCGCAGAACCGGGAGGCTTCCCGGGGAAACTAGCTTTGCGCCTCATCCTCGCGAGCACCTCCGGAGCCCTCATCACATTCCGCTGCCTGGGCGGGCGCACTGCATCAGTGAGGCCGCTCGTGTCTACTGTGCCTGCGAGGGAGAGGCCTGCACCAGCCTGGAGCCGCCGACTCCCCGCCTCCCGCTTCGGATCCGCAGACCCCGTGACAGCTGCCAGTCAGGAGCAGCGGCGAAGCTAAGGGGCCAATGGCTGCGGCGCGGGCGAGGGGCGTGAGGACGCCTGCAGAGACCGTGCACGTCATGGCCAGGCTCCGCCCCGCCCCGCCCCGCCGCGCGGGGAGCCCTTGTCCCGCACCGGGAGGGTGAAATTGTTTCGCTGCGAACGACGAGCAGGGTAAGGGGGCTGCGACCGGGAGGGGCGAGAGGGAGAGCAACGGTGGGACCCAGGCGGTCAGTGACACTCCCAATCTTAGGAGTAGCAAACGGACTAGTACCTCCGTTTACGATGTCTGAGTGCTCCTGGGGTCGCAGGCTACGTTTCTGTCCGAATTCTGGACAGACATAGCCTCCTACCTAAAGTGTTCCGGGGAGTAAGGAACTCGCACCACCATGGAGTGGCTTTTCAGTGTTTAGGAGGTCACCCCTCCCAAGCCTGGGACCGAGCTGATAATTGCTGAAACTAAGGGTAGATGGCAGGAAGAGTACAGATGCCTGCGGCCCAGACGTAGAGTAGTATAATTCCAACTATTTCCCTCTGCCTGTCGTCCCTATCCGTAACAATCCCACCCCTAGCATCCCTAGCAACCAGCAACTTCTTCCTCCTCTCCACTTTGACCCTCCTGAGAAAGGCATTACAGGACGGAGAGCAGAAAAATTATCTTCCTCCTCTAGCCCATCCCCTGACACCCTGGCCATTGACTTCTCCCAGTTTGCTGAGATCACTAGAGTGGCATAGAGTGGCGTGGACTTCCAGGTTAGGGTGGAGATACTGAATTGGGGTTCAGTTCCCAGATGGGGTATTTGCTTTAGAGGGGTGGAGGGACAGACAGAACTGGAAAGGCCTGGATGGATATTATTACTTGTTTACTCTTTGTATCAGCTGCTCTGGGTAAGAGATGAGGATCCTGAGTTCAAAACGGCCTGCTGCGTTGCCCAGGGAGCCAGTTAATGACAAGGCCTGGTTGTATAACTCCAAGGCAGTTTGCTTCTAGGGTTTGGGTTCCTTCAGCCCATTAGGTTGTTGGTACCTCTTCCTGTCTCTCTTTTCCTCAGTCTCACTTTAGAAATAGTTGTGAGGGCTGGGGGTGTATAAGCTCAGCGGTAGAGCACTTATCTAACATTCTCAAGGCCTTGGGTTTGATACCTAGTGTCTTTTTTTTTTTTTTTTAATTGTTGGCAAACCTGCTTCTGTGCCTAGGTTCCTTGGCCCGGGGCATTGTTCTCTCTAGAAGTCTATGTACCTTTCCATCCCCTCTTCACCCCCATCCCCTCCTGCCTCTTCAGCACAGTCTAGCACTAAAGTGCTCCAGGTTTACTCCAAGAACCCATTTGGAACCTGCATTCTCCGGTCTCCCAAATGTCCCCTCCAAGGGCTTTTCTTGTTTTGAAACCTGTGACTCTTCTTCCTGCAGGTCTGCCACAATGCTGTTTCGACTGTATAGACCTGTGGCCGCCGGACTCCCACGGGTCATCAGGTGGGTTATCCTGATGCACTTACCTCCTAGCCCATCTCATAATTGTCTTATCTGGCTGATGTTTATCTTATCTGGAAGATAAGGCAGTGCAGAGATAACCCTGGAGGAAAGAGAGGGCCATATTTCACTGGTCCTACCCATCCGGAAGAAACTTGGTTCCAACTGAAAGCAGTGACTAATGAGGGAGAGGCCACAGACCTTTGCTGGTTGGCGCTTTCACTGGACATTTTGTACTAAAAAAGAAGATCTCTTTCTTCCAGAGTCAAGTCAACCCCCTCGAGGCTCTGCATCCCGGCATACTCCACAAATGATTCATTTAAACCGCAGTACCCCAGCCTCACCTTTGCTGATGACAACTCAAGGACTCAGGGATGGAAGGTCATGGGGACCCTGCTGGGCCTTGGTGCAGTGCTAGCCTATCATGACCATCGTTGCAGGGTAAGTGGAAAAGAGCTTCCTTGTCAGAACAGAGGGGTCTTTTATACACTCTTCACCTATGATGGCTCTGTCTTCGTGCACTGCAGAGATGCTATCTGCTCCTTTAACTTCCCAGTCTAAGACTGTGGATGGGGTCAGAATGATTTAATATTCTGTTTGTTCCTTTTGTTTTCTCCCTCCCCTACCTGTAGGCTGCTCAGGAGTCGCCAAGGATATACAGCAAAGAGGATGTGAGGGCCCACAACAGCCCTGAAACTGGAGTCTGGGTAACTCTAGGCTCTGAGGTCTTTGATGTCACAAAATTTGTGGAACTGCATCCAGGAGGACCATCAAAACTGATTCTAGCAGCTGGAGGCCCCCTAGAACCCTTCTGGGCCCTCTATGCTGTTCACAACCAGCCTCATGTACGTGAGTTACTGGCTGAGTATAAGATCGGGGAACTGAACCCTGAAGATAATGTGTCTCCCACTTTGGAGGCCTCTGACCCTTATGCTGATGATCCTATCCGTCATCCAGCTCTGAGGATTAATAGCCAGCGTCCCTTTAATGCGGAACCTCCCCCTGAACTGCTAACAGAAAACTACATCACACCAAACCCTATTTTCTTCACCCGGAACCATCTGCCTGTACCTAACCTTGACCCAGAAACCTATCGCTTGCATATAGTAGGGGCACCTGGAGGTCAGTCGCTGTCCCTGTCCTTGGATGATTTGTGTAAGTTTCCCAAACATGAGGTCACTGTCACTCTACAGTGTGCTGGCAACCGTCGCTCTGAGATGAGTAAGGTCAAGGAAGTGAAAGGTCTGGAGTGGCGGACAGGAGCCATCAGCACGGCCCGCTGGGCTGGGGCACGACTCTGTGATGTGTTAGCCGAGGCTGGACACCAGCTGGGTAAAACTGAGGCTCATGTCTGTTTCGAGGGGCTGGACTCAGACCCCACTGGGGCTGCCTATGGGGCATCGATCCCTCTGGCTCGGGCCATGGATCCTGAAGCCGAGGTCCTCCTGGCGTATGAAATGAATGGTCAGCCTCTGCCTCGGGACCACGGTTTCCCAGTGCGGGTGGTGGTCCCCGGTGTGGTAGGTGCCCGCCATGTCAAATGGCTGGGCAGAGTGAGTGTGGAGTCAGAGGAGAGCCCCAGTCACTGGCAGAGACGGGACTACAAAGGCTTCTCCCCGTCTGTGGACTGGGACACGGTAGACTTCGATCTAGCTCCATCAATTCAGGAACTGCCTGTCCAGTCAGCTATCACAGCACCTCACGATGGGGCAACCGTAGAGTCAGGAGAGGTGACCATCAAGGGCTACGCATGGAGCGGAGGTGGCAGGGCTGTGATTCGAGTGGATGTATCTATAGATGGTGGACTAACCTGGCAGGAAGCTGAGCTACAGGGAGAGGAACAATGTCCCAGGAAGGCCTGGGCTTGGCGACTATGGCAGTTGAAAGCTCAGGTGCCCGATAAGCTAAAGGAATTGAACATCGTCTGTAAAGCCGTGGACAACAGTTACAACGTGCAGCCAGACACCGTAGCCCCCATCTGGAACCTGCGCGGCGTTCTCAGCAACGCCTGGCACCGTGTCCATGTTCAAGTAGTGCCATGAAAACATGGAACTGAGCCAAGCCGTGCGTCCCCAAGGACCACCTAAGTTCCTCTCCATCCCGCCCTTAGTCCTCATTGCCGTAGAAAAGCATTTCCTTCCTCTTCTTGGGTCATACCCCTCTCTTTACTGTGTCTTAAGATGTGCTGAGCGAGCACGCGCGCGCGCGCGCACACACACACACACACACACACACACACACACACACACAGCACATTTCTACCCAGGAACCCCCCCCTCCTGACACACACTGCCAGAAGAGAGCTGTGGGAGAGTCTGGAGATGAGAAAGCAGTTCTGAAGGGACTCTTTTCCTATCACACCTCCATTTCTAATGCCTTCCCACCCAGGCCTTATTTTACATTGCTCAGAAAGTCCAGCCAAGTGAGTGTAGAATTAAGAACCGTACATTACTATTTTCTCCTGCCCTATGTGATGCAAGGGGTTTCCCTCTTGGAGCTATGCCTTAAAAATATATGTGTATGTATTTACCAATAAAGTGTCCGTTTAAGATGATGACTGAATAGTGAGCATGTTGCAAGACCGGCATGAGCTGTCGCTGGGGAAAAAATGAAGGGGCTTCCTTCTCCCACCTAACTGAATGACTGCCCCGGAGACACCTACGAAGAGAGAAGTGATCGTCTTTAAATGTTTGCTACCCTCAAACCGTTTCCCCAATTGCTGCTTCCTCGGTAGGATTAACAAATAATGCAAACGAGGTTGAAAAATCAATATTACCTTGGGGAGGGCAGGAGCAAACCTTGGCACGGGGCTCCCGTGGGCACCGAGTTTGCAAATGAGATGCAGATGAAGAGATAAGAGCCGGCTTAACCTCTGCACCACGGGCCCTTTTGGACTTAAATCTTTCGGCGCTCGGCTATTCTCCCCTAGCTCCTCTCCCTGTCTTTTTTTTTTTTTTTCCCTCAGCAGTCTCCCCGGCTTGGGGGCGCTCGGTGTTTGGCCCAGTCGCCTGTCGCCTGGCAGTGGGACCGGAAGTTATTCCGGGGGGGGGGTGGCCGCCGTGGGGGGGCTCCGCGGGGGGGGCCGGTCCCTCCTCAGGTGCAGCCCCTGATGGAGATGGAGCCGCCACCGCTGGGCGCCCGGATCCCGGCTTCGGCCTGGCTGCCGCCGCCCCAGTGACCCCGTCCCGCCCGCGCTGGGCCGCCTGGGGCAGTGGGGGTCCCCCCCGGCCGTCTCCCCACCCGCCCGACTCGGCCCTCCTCCTCCCCCCCCACAGCCCGCGCGCGCGCGGAGACGCCTCAGGTGAGCGAGGGGCGGGGCCCGCGCGGGCGGGGGCGGGGCTTGGCCTGCGGGGCGGGGCTTTGGCGTGGACGGAAAAGTGGGGAGCCGCAGCCTGGGGGGGGGGCGGGGCGGGGCGGGCTGGGTCCGCCGCACCTCGGCCCGCCGGACGCCTCGGGAACTGGGGAATGGTAGGAAGCGAGGTCAAGGGAGGGCTGGAGGAGACAGGAACTGACCTGTGGGAGGATGCCGTGGCGAGGGAGGGCGGGGACTGGCTAGGACAGAAGGGCAGAACAAAGCGACCCCTGAGGACCAGGAAAAAAGCAAGGTGCTCGGGGCCTGCATGGAGAATGCTGGGGGGACGACCCAGGCCCACCTGTGACTGCCTCGGGGGGAAGGGGCGGGGGGAGCGAGGAGGAGCATAGGGAAGCCCAGGAGCGAGGCTGGGAAGTAAAAGGAAAAACGCACTACTCACGAGAGAAGCCCTATGGTAAACCTCCGGGTGGGAGCCACATAAACTTGGGTAGCAAAATGCCTCTTCCTAAGTATTAAAGCCATCGGGGTGCCTCATACAGACCCACCTCGGCTGTCTTTACCCTTTATCTGCTAGAGTTGTATTGTTTGGTTTAGTGTGTTGGTTGGTGAGTGTGTGTGTGTGTGCACGTACACGTGTGTTCATGGCACAGCTGCATGGCAGGACAATCTTTGAGTTAATTCTCTCCATCTTTTTTTTTTTTAATTTTATGTACATTGTTGTTCTGCCTACATATATATCTGTGTGAGGTGTGGGATCCCCTGGAATTGGAGTTACAGACAGTTGTGAGCTGCCATGTGGGTGCTGGGAATTGAACCTGGGTCCTCTGGAAGAGAGCAGCCAGTGCTCTTAACCACTGAGCCATCTCTCCAGCCCCTCTCCATCTTTACGTGGTTTCTGGGATTTCAAGGCAAGTGAACCGTGGTTGAGACAGGGTCTGGTGTAACCCAGGCTGGGGCTGAAACATGAAGCTCGTGGTGATGACCTCTACCCCCTGAACTTGTGGTGATTCTCCTGCCTTGGCTCTCTGACTGCTGGAACTACAGAGCTGTGCCTCCCTGAGCTTTTCTTCAGTTTCTCTGTGGGTCTTCGTTCTTTTGATTGGTTGGTTTATATGAGACAGGGTCTTACTGTGTAGCCCTCATTGGCCTGAAACGTACTCTGTAGATAGACCAGAGAGGTCTCAAACTCAAGAGATCCATTCACCTGCCTCTGCCTCCCGAGTGCTGACATTAAAGGCTTGAGAACGCCTCTATGCTTGACTGTTTTTAGACCAGGACCTCATGCTTTCTAGGCTGGCTTCAAATTTGCCATAGCTAAGGATGACTGAACTTTTGAGCCCTATGCCTCCAATCTCCCAAGTGTTGGGACTATGTAAGTCTTGCTATGTGTCTTATTTAAACCATGACCAGCCCTTTCTTGGGATAAGTGGAATGTTCGATGGAATGTGGACTTTTTTATATGAGCTATTTCACAAGCAAGGTACCCCATTTGCCAGCTGCTACCAGGAAGGTTTGGTGTGTCACTAGCTAATATGTGTAAAAGCTTTGCCCACCTTTTCACCACACCCGTCTTTCTCATGAATGAAACTATCAGCTGTTGTGACTCTTGGTGGTGGTAAGGATGGAGACACTCACTGCTCTGCACTATTGCCCACAGCAATCTGAACTCGGTAAAACCCTTTTTTTTTTTTTTTTTTTTTTTTTTTTTTTTTTTTTGTTTCAAGACAGAATATCTAGTGAGCCAGTAGGAAGAGAATTGGTGGCTGGCAAGATGGCTTGGTAGGCGACAGCTTTTTTTTTTTTAAGTTTGTTTGTTCTTTGCTTTTTTTGAAGACAGGATTTCTCTGTGTAGCCCTGGCTGCACTGAAATGTGCTCTGTAGACCAAGCTGTCCTCGAACTCACAGAGATCCACCTGTGTCTGCCTCCCAAGTGCTGGGACTAAAGACGTGTGCCACCACCACGCAGTCTATCACCAAGCTTTAATGACCTAGCTTGAGTTCAGTCCCCAGCGCTGTTAAATCTCCAGCGTCCATGTAAAAGCTACAACACACACCTGTAATCTCACTGGAGTGGGGGGGGCACAATCCAGAGACAGATGGATTCGTGGATTAATTAGCCAGCCAACCTGTTAATATCCTCCAGGTTCAGTAAGAGACCCTGTCTCAAAAAAAAATAAGGGAAACTGGAGAGCTGGCTAAGAGCTCATGCTGCTCCTCTAGACACATGAGTTCAGTTCTTAGCGCCTGCATGGTGGCTTGTAACAAGCTGTTACTCCAGTTCCGGGGGATCTGACACTCTTCAGGTCCTTGAGGCCAGTAGGCATGCACTTGGTATACAGACATTCATGCAGGCAAAACACCCTGTCTTAGTCACTGTTCCATTTGCTGTGAGGAGACACCGGGACCAAGGCAGCTGCTATAAGAGCAAAGCATTTAATAGGGGCCTTGATTAGAGTTTCAGAGGCTTAGCCTATCATCATGGTGGGGAAGTTGGTAGCATGCAGACAGACACTGGAGTAGTGGCTGAAAACTACATCCAGATCTACAGGCAGAAAGAGAGAGTTTGGTATTTCCTCCAACAAGGCCACACCTCCTAATCCTTCTAATCGTTTCAAATAGTCCTATTCCCTACTGACTAAGCATTCTAATATATGAACCTATGGGGGCCATTCTTATTCAAACAAGAACACACCCATACACATAAAAAATAATATTTAAAAAATTGAAAAACAAAAAGAATGAAGTCCAGCATTGTGGTACACATCTTTAATTCCTAGCACTCTGGGCGACAGAGGCAGGCAGGCAGACTCTGTGAGATCAAAGCCAGCCTGTCCTACATAGTGAGTACCAAGCTAGCCAGGGCTATATAATGAGACTCTTTTTCAAAAATAAAATAACTGAAGAGATTTTTACCAGCATGTATGTTAACTATGTTCATGCCAAGTACCCTCAGGGTTAGAACAGGGCATAACATTCCCTTGAACTGAAGTTATAGATATTATGAACTATTGTGTAGGTGCTAGGAATTGAACCTGGATCCTCTTCAAGAACAATATCTTGCTAAGCCATCTCTAGTCATTGTCCCCCCTACCCATACTTTTGATAAGTGAGAAGCCAGATAATATTTTCTCAAAAAAAAAAAAAAAAAAAAGGACAGGAGTGTTTGCTTAATGGTTAGTTACAGAGGACCTAGGCTTAATGCCCTGAACCCACATGGTGGTTCACAAGGGTCTGTGATTCAAGTTCGGGGGGAATCCAACAGGCATACACATGACTCACACACATGCATGCAGGTAAAACTTCATATTCATAAAATAAATACATCTTAATATATATATGGATGTGGTGGTGCACACCTCTGATCCCAGCACCTGGGAGGCAGAGGCAGGTGGATCTCCAAATTTGAGACCAGCCTGACCTACAGAGTGAGTGCCAGGGCAGCCAGAGCTACACAGAGAAACCCTGTCTGGAAAAACCAAAATAAATAAAATAGAGAGCGCTCAAAGGAGACAGCGAAGGTCAACTCTTTGGCCCTACATGAACACAGGCTTCTGTGTGTGTGCCTGCACCCGTGCAATATACCCACAGAAAGAAGAGTTAATTATTTTAAGTTTTTATTTAGACTTTCTGTTTTATTTCATGTGTGTTAGTATGTTTGTCTGCGTATATGTATGTGCACCACGTGTGTGCCTGGCACCTGTGAGGACCAAAAAAGGGCATCAGATCCCCTGGAACTAGGGTTATGAATGGTTGTGAGCCACCATGTAAGTGCTAGGAATAGAACCCTGGTCCTCTGTGACATTAACAAGTGCATTTAATCCCTGAGCCACCTCTCCACCAGGTGTGCTCTCCCTTGCCACCCCCCATAAGCGAACCGGACAATAGGGTATTTTGGATGGGGTCCTAATCTGATAAATTAAAACAGGAACCACTAG